GTGTGTGTGTGTGTGAGAGAGAGAGAGAGAGAGAGAGAGAGAGAGAGAGAGAGAGAGAGAGAGAGAGAGAGAGAGAGAGAGCAGAAATGCGGTAACCCAGCTTGTGGAGGAGACTGCTGACGGGTCTTGTCGAATGTGTAATCTCATGTTGGACTCTATGTGGAATGTTTTCAGTGCAAGCTCAAAGAACGCCTATCCGCAACGGTTCAAGAAACACGTCAATGCCAATTGATGCTGGCATCGGAGGTGAAGGGTGTTCTGTCTGGCGAACTCGGTTGGATGAAATCGATGGAGGAGAACGTAATGAAAGCTGTCGGAGCGATGGAGGATGCAAACAGAAGGGAGATTCTATTGCGTGTTGAGCTGCAGCAGGCACTGTCTCAAAAAGACGTGCACTTGGCTGCCATGCAGAAGGAGAACCGTCTCCTCAAAGAAGAGAAAGAGAAAGGGTGGGACTGGAGCGTGCAGAAGGTAGGATCTATTTCCAACATGTACCAGAGTGGGTGGATGTACTTCGTTGTCATGGAACAGTTTCTGTTATCTGGATTGAGAGTGCTGTGGATGGTTTTCATGGAGGTGGAAAGGTGTCGACAGGTTTCTCACTTTCTTGTCCTGGGGTTAAATTGTTCACTCTTTTTCCATGGGGGATGGGGGGTATGAAGGAGGGGGAGGGGTGGGCACATTAGTTCCCCCTGTATATGTGTGTGTTCAATGCGACTTTGCAATAGTTACCCTGGTCAGCAGCACAAGGCAAGATCTCTGTTAGTGAAAATTTCAGGGTTATAATCTGCCCTTCTTGGAGACTGGAGACTCTTGAGGCTATTCGGATTGCTATCTAGTAGCCTTTTGAGAGTGTGCAGTCGGAACCTGGCATGATGATTCCATCTCACCTGGTCCAGTCTGTTGGAGCATGCATTCACTGTGTTACGTTTCAAGAGATGCGCTGCTACAGATGACACTCAGTAGCTGCCCTCTCTCAGAACGTTTACATGAAGCCCTGCAAGATGGCAGGTGAGCGTGCTTCGACGTCAGCCTCCCAGGTCACAGATTCAGTTGCACAATGAGGTCTAGGCCCCTCTTTCCCATTCTGGGGGTTGCGGAGCCGTCCATCCGTTGACAGCGGTCCACACTACACTCTGCCTAAGTAACCATGCTGCAGTAATTGTAGTTCTATCAAACCTGAGAGTGAACTAACTACCGTCTTCACCTGAATAGAACGCCCGGTCATCGCAGTGACCGGGGGTTGCGGAGCCTAAGTAACCATGCTGCATTTGGCACAACTTTCGGTTAAGATGCAGTGATAATGACCGGGCGTTCTATTCAGGTGAAGACGGTAGGTTCGAACAAACAATATCCTTGTGTGCATTGCAGTGACACCAGGTCCATCCATCCTTTTTGAAAAGTTCAGACGGCTGATCGCACCGTCATCTTGTCGTATGTTACGCCAAGGTGCGAGCATCAGACATACATAGGTGTAAATGCCAAGTACTGGGTCTGGTGGACTGCTGATGGCTTCCCTGATTCTCATCATTTAAACAAGGGGATGAGCCCTCCTCCTCTTAGAAGCCAGAGGAGGGGGGTCAGCATGGGTGAAGACGAGACGAGTAACTCACTCCTAACCCGTTGACCCAGAACAATGCTCCGGATGGATTCTGCGCTGGCGGGATAGGCGCAGAGAGCAGAGAGCTTTCAATAGGCAGGATCAGATGTAATATGTATGCTACTATGCTTCCTTTGTCTCTGCATGTCAATGGCCATGGGAAGGGAATGGCCTCCTGCTCCAAGGATCTTGTTGTTTGATCCCTGAGCAGGGCTTGCGGCGGGTGCAGACCTGTTTGCACACTCTGGTTACCAGAGCTGTCAGGCCTTCTACTTTGCTGTGTTTTCAGGTCAGATTCAGACTTGTGTATAGGCCACGAAGTACTGGTGTATAGCCCTTGAAAACTGGAGAAAAACAGCACTTTCATTTTTTCCTCCCGTGCAGCGTTTCCTGGTAGTCAAATAGAATTGCAAATCAGCCACACACACTCAAATTCAGTGCGCACTGCGCACATATTTTCCTCTGTTTAAACCACCAGTACTTGGCCCAGCTATCGATGCCGAGCCTCGAATGCCCCTGCGCACCAATTTTTGCCGAAGCGCTAGGGTACCATTTTGATTTTCTTTTGGCTGGCACTTCCAGCCATTGTGGTCCGGTACCCCGAAACCCTAAAGGCGTGGTGCGTTAACGGGGAAGCGCCGCGGCCGATAACTTGGCCAAGTACTGGTCGTTTAAGCACCAGTAGATATGCCAGCTGTAGGCCGCGGGCCCCTTTCGGAGTCTGCCCACCGCCGATTCATTTTCTCTACAGCGCTCGACCTCCTAAATTTTCGGAGAGGCCCAAAACAGGTTCTCCAATTGCCTGGGCCCATGTATTGGTGCTGGTTTTAGCCGTCAGATTCAGACTGGTACCTCGCTCGACTGGCTGGTACTGTCTGGGCAGACATATAGGCCTTAAAAACTGCAGGAAAAAAGAAGAAAAAAAAAAAAAAGATAAAAAAAAACGCTGAAGTTTCAGAAACTTTAACCCTGTAATCGAATAGCATTGCAAATCAGTCACACAAATTTCAAATTTGTAAGTTCATCCCACACAAATACATTGTATATAGGTCTGTCGACTCTGTCCCTATTAAATTGGAGTCTGGGAGGAGCAGCAGTAAGTGCCAGTAACCACTGTGGTACATAAGTGCAGGAGTCCAGCTAACATTTAGATGGTCTTTTCTTTTTTGCTTTTTTGTTTCTGAAAGAGGGGATAGCCCAATGCATAACATTATTGCATGGATCCGATTGGATCAGGGTTGGAAATCCTGACCTGTTGGTCCTGCCTGAAGCAAAAAAAAATAGTCTCAGGTATCTGCTTTCGTATGAAGGAGAGGTGTAGTACCTTCGTCATCCCTTTTCCCAGCTCGACAGAACGCAATTGAGAACAGGCTGCCCACCTTTCCTTCGAGGTTTTGCTGTTTAGGAATAATACGATGAAGGTGACCCTAAACGATAAACATTCAGATTATAGCATTTCACATGGCAAGTGAAACAATAGGAATAATACGACGCTCATCATTTCATGCTGAGGATAGGAAGGAGGTGAGTGAGAATAGAGATGGAGATGAAGACAGAAGCATCAGCACGCAGAGTGAGAGAGAATCGCACAGAGAGCCGGCACAGGGATGTCTCCCTAACGTCACCGATAGGTCGGTTGTATGATTAAAACTTGAAAGCATCCTATCGCTTATCAGCAGTCATACTCTCGTCAAAGTCTTGGAAAACAGCTGCTAGCGTTGGCGAAGGCGACCCTACACGGCTGCTAGCATTCTGAAGGTTTTGACTACATTCTGAGCCGCCTTGAACCTGAGCAGCCTTTTGAAATCAACCTCCACTGGTGTTCCTTTTGCCTGCTGTCTCTAAAACAGGAAGACGTCTGGCATCTTCTCCCACTGGAGAATAGACCGGAAGCTCTTTTGTCCGAGAATTCGATAGCCTGATGAAAAATGTTTGTTTGCCTGATGCGGGACTCTGAAGAGGTCGACGAGACTATGAGCCTCCCAGAACCTGAGCAGGCTGCAATTTGGAATTAACCTCCACCGACATTTCCTTGGCCTGCTTTCTCTAACCCGGAACCCCCAGGGTAATTGGCTGAAGGGATTCCCTCCCGGAATTTGCTGTCTACTATACGAACGTCCGTTTTTCTGATGCAGCATTCGGCATGGATTGACTAGGTTCTTAGCCTCCATGAACCTGACCAGTGAGCAGCCATGTGGAATCGGGACTCAAGGAGTCTGAGATCCGTAATGCCGGTTTCAAAAAAAAAAGAAAAAAAGGAAAAAAGAAAAGGATCCGTGACTTGAGGGCTGGGTTACCGTGTTGAATTGTGTTCCCGGTCTCAGCCAATGATTGAGTTCTGGCTGTCTGGCATGACATGGGTAAGAGTCTGGAGGAAACGCTAATTCTTTCTTTCATTGGTAGCTGTCAGGGAATATATATGGAGTGTTATGGACATAACCCCCCATCGTAAGTTACTAATTTATTAAACTCATTTTTTTTTAATGGAAACCCATCTCAATTTTTCTCGTCAGCAAAGAAATGTTTGACTTTTGCGATGTCTGCATCCAAATCTGTGTCTCAGGATGCCTGTACCTCGCCTTTTCTCTTTGTTTTTTAATTTCCCCCTCCTCTTTTCCCCCTTTTGTACCTTGTGCTCAGCTGGTGCCCAAAAGTTTGGGCCTAAAAGAAAAGAAAGAAAACGAGTTTGGGCGTAACGACCATTTGTCAGTGTCTTGCCAGTTCGTCCTTATCCAGTTTAGATTCTCGTGTACAAGTATGATGTGGATCCTGTTCCGCGTGAATCCGCGCTTTTAACTCTAGCTCTCTTTTCTGTTTCTGTTTCTCCTCTCCTGTTCAACTCACCTATTAAGCCTCTAACATGCCAGGAGGCCAGATTCAGTTTTCCGTTAGTTATTGGGCTTTGTTTTCGGCCGCCTGTTGCTTGACTATGGGGCTCTGATTTCGCTTTGTTCTGGGACACGCAGTGATTGTCTCTGTCCTTCTTTCCAGCTGCTTTCCCTTTGCTGCAGCTCGCAGGGCGACTTGCGGTCCTGCTGTCACTTGGCTCATTTCCATTCGTAGACTTCAAATTATTTCCCTGCCTGGTACAGATTTGCCACTCGGAAACAAACTTCAAACTGTGCGCAATCAGTGGATTCTCTTTTTGCATCCTTGTGCGTACTTCGGCGGGCTCCCTCTCTTGAGAGTCAGATTTAGGCATTCTCCCTCCCTTAAGACGTCACACTCGTTTTTCCAAGTAACGAGGATAACGGTCCGATAACCCCTTTACCAACAACCCTCTTTCAAATGTCACCTTTGAAAAGGGAAAATTTTCAAAACATAAAAAAAGCAGCTCCCTAAAATGTCACATTTTGGCATTCTCGCTCTATGCCTGTCATCCTTGCGCAGGGGCCATGCAAACCTTCTTTCTCTGTATGTTTCCAATTTTAACGGATGTCCCGAAGGACACATTTTGACATTCGGCCTCCCGTAAGACGTCACACTCGATTTCCGAACGAATGGGAATAACCCGTTTACTAAAAGCCCTCCCTAGAATGTCATATTTGAAAAAGGGGAAAAGAAAAGAATAAAAAAACAGCACTATGCCATTCGATAACAGGGAGCCGGGTTCATCAGACAACAAGTCTTCCTCCTAGGTCCCACTTCCAACCATTGCCACAGGGAGGTGTGCTCCTCTTCTTTTCTTAAAAAAGCGACCAAAAACTGGGATTGCGCAGTTGGCCGTCTGGTGCCAGTTTCTACCTTGTACGTTACTATGCATGGACACTCAGCGAAAGAAAAGGTCCAATCTAAGGAAAAAAGACTTCCTTTTGAAGAAATGCTGTGAGGATATAGCTCCAGAAAGCTAGCCACTCAGCACAGAGGCGTC